AAGCAAGGATTCAGAAAAGTCGAGGGTCTTAAAACTAATAGAAGGCGACTCACTGCCTTCACAGGCGAGTATAAAGGCAATGGGAGCCTGAAGGCCGTTATAGACGACTCTAGAGTCATAGTGTCTATATAGACGGGCCTAGGGGTAAGGAGGTGGTATAGACGATCCTGAAAGATGGGAGACCCTATTAGAGAGGAAGGTTGATCTATAGAGGCGGGCCGAAGTTAAAAAATCCGTATATACGAGCTTGAAATAGGGATCTTAAGGGATGAACCTGAAGACATGGAGCCTTTGTAGATTAGCTGCACATGTATAGTCTTGCTAGACGAGCCGATGGGAGTCTTTATAGAATTTCTAGCATGAATAGAGTCTAAAGAGAGTTTAGGGACCCTGAAGGGAATCTATAAGAGACCCTAAAGGGAGCTGCTCGGAGTCTCTATCGATGACTGCTCGGAGACTAGCATGAAGAGAGTCTAAAGAGAGTTTAGGGACCCTGAAGGGAATCTATAAGAGACTATAAAGGGAGCTGCTCGGAGTCTCTATCGACGGATTCTATCGGCGAGCTGTTCGGAGCCCCTATCGACGAGCTGCTCGGTATCCATATCGACGAGTTGCTCGGTGTCCCTATGGAAGAGCTGCTCGGAGTCTCTGTCGACGAGCTTCTCGGAGTTTCTGTCGACGAGCTGCTCGGTGTCTCTATCGAGGAGCTGCTAGAGTTATTTTTTGAACCCATCTCGAAATTTTCAGAGAACACTGTTCCTTCTATTTAATAAATTTTTTCCAACCAACTCTCATACACACACCTTCAACATTGAGCACCCCAAATGAATACTGGTAGCTGGCAGGCCTTTAAGAATTTTAATAACGATGTTGTTGTTGTTGCTTGTTTCTGTTTTTATCTCATAACTCTTCTATGGGTGCAGCCAAGCAACTGAAGCAACAAAAATAACAACTTAACTTATTATTAATTTGCGTTTGTTGTTGTCGGTGGCAGTGAGCCGCCACATCAAACCGGTAGCAGCGCAACAGTAACAAGAATAACAAAAAAAAAAAAAAATAATTTGTGAGTGAGTAAAATATGTAACCGTCATAAAAAAGCAGATAAGTATGTGACATACATTTTCTTTAAAACGCTCGTGACTGTGAGTGTACGTTGCTTCTGTGTCAAATTAATGTTTGCTTGAAAAAATACACACACACACACACAAAAGTTTGGAATTATCTTTTGACAATTATGAAATTTTTATTTCTTTTATTTTCCTTGACATTTGCACCCCTCCTCAACATAGAGTAATGTTTGATTTGGTTGGAGGAATTTGTAGTTTTCTGGGAGATAATGGTTAGCAGTTTTTTGTGACTCCAAATTTTTAGGTTGGCAGAATGATTTTAATGGAGACGGGGAGGGTAAATGGATAATAATAACACTTAATTTCTATGTATTAATGTATTCCCTTGGGTAGAATACCTAATACAGGACTTCAGCGGGACTTTGGTACGTGATAGTCCTGCCACCGATGTAGCCTCTGAAATGATATATTTTTATATACAGGGTAAGATGTAAACATTGCAACCAACTTCAGACTGCTGTCATTTCTAAGCCATTCGTGCTATAGCTGTTAAAATTATTCTAGTGAGAGCTCATTATATTGTTTACAAGCGTACAAAAGCATTTTGGTGCGAATTTTCCAGAAAAAAAGTTATTTGTTTCATTGGCCATAATTCGTGGCAATGGTGACCAACTCGACCAAATCTCAACTTATTCTAAAATTTGATGCTATTTCCGACATTTTTGCTTTCATTCAATAAAATTAAAAAGAAAATGTAAAAATTATGGTGTTTGACATTGTTGCAGTTTTCTTATCTCACCCTGTATTTTCTGAGAAATCCAATTTTTGGCCGTTAGACCTCTCCTCTAAGTCTCCGGTGCAGAGTTGCATTTTTCCTAGTTTCTTTATTGAGCCATGGACCCATCCATCCGAACTGGTTGTAAAGGACATTGCAGGATGCGTCGGTGAGACCTTTAATGGGTCTTCTGGATATTTCAAACATATGTTATTGAAAACCTATATAATTTTTTAAAGTCCGCCAAAATAAAAGCATAAAAAACGAACAATAAATTTCATGCCCCAAACAATTGTGCTAAGAATAACATTGATATAAAAATACAACAACTGCAAAATTTTGTTTCTCTAGTTTTTTTCACGCGCCTATTATTAGAAAATAAACAACAGCATTGAATTGCATATTTCTTTTTTTTTTTTTTTGCATCAACTGTAGCAGGCACGCAAAATTCCGACACACAAAACAGCCCTGCCTCGCTGCTAATATAAACACATCTTCTCAGATATACCATAAACCCATAAATCGGATGTAATTGAATTTATTTTCAAAATGAGAAGAAGAAGTAGAAGAAGAAACAGAAGATGCTTTATTCTGTAACACAACAACGCGTTCAAACAGTTGATTCGATTCACGGATATATTTCATTGGTGTTTATATTTTTCTCTCTTCTCTGAATTTCATCCCATCATCTCGTTGCCTTCTCTTCCTCTTATTGGATTCTGTTGTTGTCTGGTTGGCTCTCTTCACTTCGTTGCAACAACTTTGTGAATTGTGTTGCATTTTTCATTAAGTTTAAACGTCAAGTTGAAGGAATTTCATTTACAGAGCCTTGAACTTGTTTAGTTTGCTGCTGTTGCACTCATCTTCTTCTTCTTCTTTAACAACGCCGTCATTGTGTGTATCTTTTTCTGGGGGCTGTGGCAGCCGCCGCCATATCGTGATGCAAAAATTGCATCAAACTTACACACACATTGAAACGGAGAAAAATAAACAAATACCAATTTGCAGTAATCCCATAAAATCCGGCTAAAGTAAATTACAGTAACAGAGAGCGAGGGATAGAGAGAGTGAGAGGTTACGGCGAGGGAGGAGAAAAGAGCATTATGAAATTCGCAGTAATGCCGGTATTATGGTGGAGATTGATGCTACATCTCCTCGCTCTCTCATAGTAACACAAATTACTGCAGACATGCATCATATTTAGAAATGCACCACACAAAAGATGCCCGAGGAGAATGAGAAAATAGAAAAAATGAGAGTGAGTTACTCAAAGTAATGTAGAGTTGCCTTTGAATTACGGCATACACATGATAACAAAAGGCCTTCCTCCACATAGCCATAAAGTGGAAATTCCCATTGTCACTCTCTGTGGCTCTCTGCGTGAAGGAATGCATTTTGGTTTTTTTAATAATCATAATTAATTGGAAAAGTAAACAAAAGCATGAAATAGAAGTAAATAGAAGGGGGATAAGTAAAGGAATGAGATGAATAACAACAACTTAAAATAGGGAGCTTGAATGTCAATAAAAGTGGACTTTTGAAAAAAAAGAAAACGGGTAAAAAAACTTTAAGTTCGGCTGGGCCGAACTTTTAATACCCCAACCATTGGGTAAAGAAAACATTTTTGTATATAAGTATCTGAATTGAAACGTGTTTCACTTTAAACTACAAATACCAGTTAGAGCGCTTGGATACTGCTGTTAAACTTTTCAAAAAACCATTAAGTGGGTGAGGCCGTTATATGGAGCCCACAACAAAACAGGAACCTCTATAGACAATTTTATACTTCAAGGATTGTCATTAACCAAATCTTCTTAAATACGAACTATGAAACAATTTCGTGGATAAAAGAGACTTTCAAAATAGCAAATATCGGTGGGTATCGTTATATGTGCGATATATGAATACGTGGGCCTAAAAATGTGACAAAAATCGTCAAAACACTGAATATACAAAACGTGGGCCGATATATCTCATTTTCAATACCAACCATCCTAGACACAATACAAATTAGTGTGCCAAATTTTGAAGCTCTACGTCTGATAATGATGACAGATGGATTTTATGCCGATCATACTACTTTATGGGGTCTACGACGAACATTTAGGGATGTTACAAACGGAATGGCAAAGGTTATATACCCTCCTTTTCAAGGTGAAGGGTATACAAATTACAAAATAACTTCTATGTAAAGTATACATAACGTCAGTTTCAGGCTGGAGTGTTTAATCCGCAATTTTTTTTATAAATAATCCACATTTATTAATAAAGAAGTCATCCACGATTATGGATAAAAAAATTATCAATACTTATGGATAAATAAATTATCCACATTCGTGGACAAATATATTTTCCACATTTGGGGATAAATGTGATCTAATTTTTGTGGTTTAATAAATTATCCACATTTGCAGATAAATATATTATCCGTATTGTGGGCTTGTGGAGAGATAATTCATCGACATTTGCGGATAACAAAATTATCCACATTTGTGGATAAATAAATTTAACACTTCTGTGGACAAAGAAATTATCCACGATTGTAGATACATATATACTATCCACATTTATGGATAAGTAAATTATCTAAATTGGGACGAAATAAGTTATCCACGTTTGCGGATATGTAAATTATGCATATTTGTGTATAAGTAAATTATCCAAATTTGTGGATAAGTAAATTATCCATATTTCAAATACATTAATTATCCACATTCATGGATAAATAAATTAACCACATTGGTATCTATAAATTATCCACCTTTGTGGATAAATAAATTATCCACATTTGCGGATAAATAAATTATCCTCCTGGATAAAAATCTTTTTTTTATAATAAATTAATAATAAATTATTTACATTTATTTGCGGATAAATAAGTTATCAACATTTGTGGATAAAAAATTATTACAATTCAAATGCGTTATTCACGTTTGCGGATAAATGCATTGTCCTCATTTATGCATAAATAAAATATCCACGTTTATGGATAAGTATATTATCCACATGGTGGATACAATATTATGATTTATAAATTATTTAAATAGTTACAGTCGAAAAGAAAATGTGGTTTTTCTCAGATATCTCCTTTGTTGAAATAATATAAACCAGATTTCATAATTTTATTTTTTTGTTTCTCTCTTCCTTATTTTTTGCAGGGTTTCTGTGCTGCCAGTATTAAACGTGAACATGGCGACGAAGTCGAAGTCGAACTTACCGAAACGGGTAAGCGGGTCATGGTTCTGCGTGACGACATACAAAAAATGAATCCGCCTAAATTCGACAAAGTCGAGGATATGGCCGAACTGACATGTCTCAACGAAGCGTCCGTCTTGCACAACATCAAAGACAGATACTATTCTGGTCTAATTTATGTAAGTATCAAGATTTTCATTTTTATTTTTTTAAATTTTGTAAAAATACCCAAAACGTTGTTGGAAATCAATGCTAATTTCATACATCCGTCAAACGCAAAATGTTGTCAATAAGGTAATGTGCGCGATTTCCGTTCATTGAGTTGTGTCGTCATTAAGCGAAATGACTAAATAAACAATTGTCCATTTTTGAAGAGAATACCCAAATCGAAGAAGAAATTTACATTTCGTATGGTCTTTAATAATGTTTACACACTCTCACATGGACATTTGAATATTTGTTTAAAAATATATATGTATCCCAACCATTAGTTTTATCTTCAGATTTTTTTGGGTTGTTTATATTCCCGACAGCCAAAAAAGTGATATTTTTCCAATATTTATTCAACTAGCAACTGCCCGCCTGAAGGGTGTGCTTGCTTGTTTAAATTATTGAATTTTCTGCTGAATTCCTCTAAAGTGGCTGAGCAGTTTATTTCATGGAAGAGTGACTGACTAAGTGACTATCCCGATATTGACAAATATTTATTTTAGAGCAAAACATGTGGTAGAGTTGTATGTCTAAAAAGACTGTATAACACAGATTCAAGGAAGGGCATTTTGGGTAATTTTTTGAAAATCGGAATCTATCTTTCCACCCACAGTCAAAATAAAACAATATTTAACAAAATATATTTTTTAATAAATTGAGTTGTAAAAAATGTTAAAAAAAAACATTTTCAAAATTATTTTTTAAAGATAAGAAAATATTCTCAAATTTCACGTTTTCAAAACTGTTCTTTGTTGAAAATTTTTCCTTCTTCGAAATGTCAATATGCAGGGTGAGATGAAAAAGCTGTAACCAACTTCAGACTGCTGTAATTTCTAAGCCACTCGTCCGACAGCTGTTAAAATTATTCCAGTGACAGCTCATTATATTGTTTACAAGCGTACAAAAGCATTTTGGTAAGAATTTTCCAGAAAAAAAGTTATTCGTGATGGAATTCAAGCGTATTTGGCTGGAAAACCACAAGTGACTATCGTTAGAGCAAATATTCGGCAAATATTGAAAAATGAGCTTACCCCGAGCCATTGAAATTCGAAAGAGTGCAAGAACTTAGACCTCAAAAGAGCTAAAGAGTTGCTTCGCTTGGCCGAAAGTGATGAACTGTCGAATTTGGTTTTCTCCGATGAGAAAACATTCGTTGACCAGCAGTTTGTAAACAAACAAAATTATCGTGTTTACTTGCCAAAGAGGTCAGCTGAAAATGTGCACCTTCGGTTGGCCACCAGAATTCAAGCGCCTGCCATGGTGATGGTGTGGGCCGCCATAACAGCCGATAGTCGCTCTCTACTCGTATTAATCGACCGTGGCATCAGAATAAATGCCGAATATCATCGCGAAAATATTGTGGAGGGTGTATAAAAGCCACACAAATATTTTGGCCGCAGACCTTGGACATTCCAATAGGATTCAGCAGCATCGCGTTCAGCACGCGCCACCCCAGAATGGTTACAAAATGAGATTCCTCGCTTCATTTCCAGCGTACAATCTCCGGATACCAATTCGTTGGACTATTGTGTCTGGAGTATTTTGGAAAGCAAGGTTGGCACTAAAAAATACCAAAGTGTCGATCACCTCAAGCAAGCGCTTCGCCGAGAATGGGCCAAAATACCGCAACGCAACATTCGTCGGCGTGTGACGGCCGTCATTGGCCGTTTGAAGGCCATAATTCGTGCCAAAGATGACAAATTCGAACAAATCTAAACTTATTCTAAAATTTTATTTTAATAAAAAATGTAAAAATTATGGCGATTGACTTTGTTGCAGTTTTTTTATCTCACCCTGCAATTCCTGTTTCCAAATTTTCAAACTTTTTCAGGAATCCAAATAATCTATACAAAATGTCCCTTCAAAGACATGTTTAAAGAATCCACGTTTTGTGAAGGTATTTTAAAAAATAATAAAAAATGCATTTTAAAATCTGATTAGACCTTTTATTTATATGTGTGTCACCTCAGCAAGTAAAATGCCCATGGGCGTTGCCACCTAGTTTCAAACAGACAAAACCATTGATTGGAACTTCAACAAAATGCAAACCCAAATAGAAAAACAAATAAATTGCAATAAAATATTGAGATATCTGTGATAGGTTACAAGCCGTAACACGCCCAACTACTGCTACAAGTCAAAAAAAAAAAAAAAAAAAAAAAACAAATCGAAATTAAGAAAAAAAAAACAACGCTTGACAAAAATCTCTAAAAAATCCAAACAATGTTTTGCGGTTTTGCCACAAAAGCGAAAACGGCCTAACATACTTTTTTCCGAACAGAAAACAAGCCAATAATAAAACAACAACTACAAATAAAACAAAAAGCATATAATTTTAAAGATATTTATCGACTTCTGTTTTAGAATTTTAATTGAGTGTAAAGAACTTTTTGCTTGCAAAAAAAGCGAAACAAAACAAAAAGCAACAACATTCAAATGAGACAACAAACTGTGAATAACATTTTTTTATTTCTTTTAACAAAAAACAACCGCTGGAAACGGAATTGTGTTGGCGTCATACCACCGTCAGACCTGCCTGAGTAGTGTTATTTTTTCCAAATGTTTTTCTAGTTCGGTCTTTTCTCTCTCTCTCTCTCTCTCTCTATCGTTTTGTGCTTTATTTCTTGTGATAAGTCGCCAGAGTAACTCAAAATCTTAAAACTCTCAAATCCACCTACCTAAAAATTAAATAAAAGCTAAAATAAAATTTATGTTTTTGGTGGACTTCCAACCCCTTTTGCATTCCCTTCCTCTCTTTGTCGACAATTGCCATCGAAAATAGGTTAAAAAATTAACATTTAAAGCGAAAATCCAAAATCATTTGTTGTGCGGCGGAGTCGTCGCACGTTTGAGCCAGCGGGTCATGTGGACAAGCGTGCCACTCAAACAACCCGCTTGGTGATTTATGTTGGCGTTCATTTTTGCGGATGATTAGATTTCCGTTGTGTGAACAGAACAGAGTTTAAAATTAAGTTTCTCTTGAAGGTCGTTTTACAGAGAAGTTGTATATTTTGAAATTTTATTAGGAGGAGGTGTATTGGAGATCTTTGTTTCTTAAGTATTAATGAGGTCCGTAGAAATGAGGTCTTCGATATTTAGAAGAGCGACAGTTGGTCCCCTATTTATAGAAGGGAGACAGGAAATCTTCTTTCCTGATCTTCCGTCTCATAAAACTTTCGAATCTATTTGTTCTATAAAAGATCGGAAAGAGGTCTTCTATTTGTTAAAAATGTTTCAAAAGTCTACTACCCATGAAAATCCTTGAGGATTTGTTTTAGTTAGGAAGAGTATTTGGAGATCTTATTTTCATTTAAGTATCAAAAGAGTTTGTCTTTCCGTAGAAGAGCCAAAGGAGGTCTTTGATATTTAGAAGAGCGACAGATGGTCCTCTAATTGTAGAAGGGAGACAGGAAATCTTCTATCCAGATCTTCCGTCTTCATATAAGTTCAACAGGAGATGTCCTTTCTGCCGAAAGGTCAAAGCGGAGCGACAAGTGACGTGTCTACCTGTGAGATGTCTATAGTAAACCAGCAGGAAGTTTCTATCTAAATATGTCCTTTAGGAGGCATTATATCCATAGAAGAACCTTAAGAGGACTTCCATACATAAAATGTTTTTACAAAGTTTTTAATGCTTCAGAGGAGTCTGACAAGAGTATAGACAACATTTAGAACGTTTTCTATCAGTTGAAGATCTTCCGAATCTAGTTGATCTATAAAAGACCGAAAGGAGGGCTTCTATTTATTAAAAATGTTATATTTATCTTCCTTATTTTTACAGAAAACCTTTCAAAAGTCTACTACCCATATGGTAGGGTTTGTTCTAATTAGGAAGTGTATTTGGAGATTTTTTTTTCATTTAAGTATCAATAGAGTTTGTCTTTCCGTAGAAGAGCCAAAGGAGGTCTTCAATATTTAGACAGATGGACCTCTATTTGTAGAAGGCAGACATGATATCTTCTATCCTAATCTTTCGCCTTCATATAATTTCAACAAGAGATCTTATTCTGCCGAATGGTCAAATGACCTTCCGCAACTATTTAATCTATAAAAGACCGAAAGGAGGGCTTCTATTTGTTAACCATGTTATAGTTATCTTCCTTCTTTTTACAGAAAAACGTTCAAAAGTCTACTACGTATAAAATCATCGAGGATTTGTTCTAATTATGAAGAAGGGTTTCTATCCTACACCTAAAGCTTTGGGAGGTCTTCGATCCATATAATACTTTTAGTAGGTTTTTAATCCAAAGAATTCAGAATGTATGCTCAGATGACCGTAACAGGGTATTCTACCCAAAAATAACATTCAGGATGTCTTCCATTCGCATAAAATCTTCCGGAGGTCGTTTATGGGTAAAAGACCTCCAAAGAAATTCCATGGATTGAAAAGATTCAAAAGATAGGTCCTTGATAAAACAACGAGGGGCATCTATAGCTAACCGATAACTTATCGATATTTAATCCATTGCTCGTCGATAGCACATCGATAATTTTCAATATTTCATCCATTGCTCGCCGATAGCGCATCGATAATTTTCAATATTTCATCCACTGCCCGTAATTGGCACATCGATAAATTCATGATAGCTCGATCGATAACTTATCGATAGCTCATCGATAGTTCATCCATTGGCCGTTAATGCTAGCTAGTCAATTAATTGTTGGTAGGCGGATAACTCATCGGTATAGCTATTATATCATCAATGGCCTATCGATAAGTTATCGATATTGATCCATTGGTTTCCATCGATGACTTGCTGAAAGCTCGTCTATAAAGTTTCGATATGTTGTCGTTTAGCGCATCGATAACCCCCATCGGTAATTCACCAATAGTTCATTCATTGCTCGATGATGACTCACCGGTCCATCAGCTAAGGCTAGGGTGGTAGCTCAGCGATAGTTCATCCACTGCTCATCGACATATTGTGGATAGATTATCAATGACTTTTCAGTAGATTGCCAATAGTTC